TCCTTTTAGTGGTCTTCCTTTTTGCTTCGTGATAAATATTTAATTTTTAGGTTCGTTTAGCACTGGTTGTGGCAGGTGATTATCGAAGGGAGAGATATTGCTTCGGCAAATAGCACGAGCTGTCCACAAATAGAATCAAATTTTCTTCAATTTTGTGTCTAGTCTTTTTCATTAAACACCTTTGTACAAATTCGTTAATTTTCATCCGCTACAATCAATGTAAAAATAAACGTACTTTTCGTTACTTTATAAAGCTTAAAAATTGTGTTCAAATACTAAATCCAAACAATTTTTTTAAACCTTGTTTTTTATTAAAGACGTCTAGCATCGATTAGCTTTAGCTAACTAGCGTTAGAAAAATCGTCTTCTAAAAAGCCATGGTTCTAAATAAAATCCATTGCCTTTGATATAGCCTGTGTTTAATTACAATCCATTGAAAATCAAGATAGATTCTTAAAAATTCTCTACTTTAGAAACTACTTGTTTATCACGATTAAATGATGAATAGTAATTGCACAAAGAAGGTCTCAGCAGATTGACGACTGCTTGCAGTAGACCTGTGTTAATTTTTCAATCTTGATCGATCGATATGTTCCCCCATTAGCAGGTCCTGAATTGAAATAAATTGTATTATTTTCTTTATTATATCCATTTTGAAATCACTGGTGATCCCTGCGCAGCAAAGAGGATGCGGAGAAGTACTATTAATTTCGTTGTAAAGACTGAAGTGGAGAAGGGAGTCTTAAAAGAGAGGTGGATTTCATAATAACTTTCTTCCCATATAAAGGGGGGATCATTAGGGAGGGGGTAGTAGAGGATTTAGGATAGTGATCGGTAACAACCGATAAGGAGAGCCATGCATTCACCAATCCACCGTCCTCAGTCCTTGATAATGTATTTACAGTCGAGCGTACGTCCCATAAACGACCATCTAAAATGGGAATATCTTACTGGGGCCGGTTGCTCGAAGCCTGGTTAGCGCTAACCGTTGGTTAAGAGGTATCAAAATGTATAGGTTTCCATGGTATTTAACGCTGGTTAGCACTAACCATGCTTCGAGCAACCCGGGCCTGGTCGCTTACAGGAGGTGGTCGTTGCAAGAAAGGGAATGGCGGATCCAGAGGGGGAGGGGCCGGATCTCCCCTTATTTTTAGACCAAACTGAGGCCCGAGGGGCCGAAAAAACTTCTTTTGGAGACCGCCCCCCCCTTATCTCAGGGCCTGGATGACCGGCCGGCCCCCGCTTCCTTGTCTGAAGGTCTGGCTCCGCCATTGAATCGTACGATAAGGGGTGTCTTCCGAGAGGTCCGGACACATCTATTTTATGGAAAATATATTATTGCATGCAATTTCTAATTTACAAAATGTGTCGTTTCATGTCTTCATTAAAGGTTTTTTTGTATAATCTGAGTACCGTAGGATAAATAGCAAACTTAGACGTCAAAATATGCGTAAAGTGGTCGCTTACAAAAGGCTATATATTTAGACCTCGCGGTTCATTTAGGCTCTGGACATTTCCTTCATTAATGCTTATTTTTTGTTATCTTAAAAATTAACTCAAAAACGTAGATATGTATAATAGAAATATATACACAGTGTAACTTTTAAGTTAAAAAAGATAAGAGAAATGCAAATAAAGTTGTTGTTGTTGCTAAAAACAAAGGAAAATTATTAAACTGTCAGCTCCAAAACGTTGTCGCGGTCGCTTGGAGAAGGTGGTCGTTTACAAGAGATTCTAAGCTGCAAGGCTTTGACTTGGAACATTTTGGTATTTTGGACAGGCGTTCGCTTATGAGTAACCTGTTCCGGCTCCGAGACGGTCGGGTGGCTCGGGCCCACCAAAGATATTCGCGTACGCCAAATTGAGAAAGCGCGAACGCGATAACAAAACGGGAGGAAACTGGGGAGAGGAAGGGCCCTTTTCTTTCTCTTCCTTTTTCCCGCTACCGCCCCCTTTCCCCAGATCACGTACTTATATTTTTGCATGCCTTCAAGGAAGCGTCATCTGCATCCCTACTATCTGAGAGGCTGGAACAGGCTACTTATGGGAGGTAGTCGCTTACGAGCGGGTTATCGCACATGGCGGGTTCGACTGTAACAATCAATCAGAAAATTATACTGACGTGAACCAACCACAAGGAATCCAGGATTTTAGACAAGTGATTTCCGGTTTTCCCTGCCAGGGAAAAAGCTTTCGTCCTATCAGTATATATGAAATGGTTAAATCTGACTTGGCGAATCGTTCTGGGGGATACTCGCTTAAAGTTGCTTTAATGGTGGTATGCCACTAGATAGCTAAGACTTTGAGACTATATACACATACACATATACATATACTTGTTATTACTTTTTGATAGAGCGACTTTTCTATGACCTTGAAAAATGGTTTCGGTAAGTGCTCGTCGGTTTATCATCCAATAGATGAAAAGGTCAAAACACGGACTCTTCGTTTTCCCGCCATTCGTGTTGCAGTATGACGTCAAAGCGAAGTATCGATTGATTTCTAGAAAGTTCTCGGGCATGAAATTTTTTCACCGGAGCGCTAGCTTAACCAACCATAGGCCACGCGCGTTTGTATCCGTTCGACAAACCAATGAAATCGCTCTATTTCCGTTCGTTTGTTGTTCTGTTTTGTTCGTGCATTTTCATTTCAAGTTCATACGAAAATCGGCTCTAACATGTAGTGGAGCGGTAAACGAAAAAGTGAAAATTCGTCCAGTATCGTGTGAACTGCACTTCGAACGGGGTCTTCATAATGCTGTTTGTAACGAGGAAGAGCCAGAAGCTTAGGAAAGTTTTGGCAAAGAGACTCTGGCAAAGAGTGTCGAGTATTTAAATTCTAAACTCTTTTGTGTCTCTTTTCCTCTTTTGCATGACCGCTCATGATTTTTTCCGCATGAAGAAAACCATGGAGCAAACAGTGTTTATATTTTTCGAACTGTGGACATGAAATGACTTGAACAAAAAACGCTGAATATAGGTTTGCAAACAAAAATTGTAGGCTTTATTGCAACACTGACTTAAATTGAAAAATGCCTTGCTTCAAGTGCGCTGATATATAGAACTAGGAGGAGTCCAATACGGTCCATAACCCTACCAAATTCGGACCGGGGGTACTCATCAAAGTGTTATACCATGCGAGTGAGACTTTGCCCCGAGGTCCAACCCCTTACCCTTTGCTATACGCTTTTTGACAGAAAAAAAAGACCCAAAAGGGCTAACAGATGCATTTTATGGCTGCCAAAGAGTCGTAAAAACGCTCTGGTTTTGTGATTTATTCGTATTGAAAAGACAGTGCATTTATAGCAGTTAAAAGGGGAAGCAAAGTTCTAAACTAGGTATGTGAATGGGGTACCAGTTGTCAATAGAAGGTTTACGAAAGGGGTATACATGTTATGTTAAAAATGGTGTGTAAAAGGACAAGGGTCAGAGCCAGGGGCAGTTTCTCCGTACCAAACCCCCCGGAAGTACCTCGCTCCCGGCTCCCTTCAAAACCGCCAGCCACGCTGAAGGCACAGACGAGAACTCTCCTATTCATTTTGCTGTCTAGTCGCATCATTCTAGCTAACTCAGGTTAAATGCAGCGGAATACACTGAATTCAAAGATCGCGGATTATATATCTATTGCTATATAGCTGGAAATTTTTTCCCAACAATGCGCGCTCTCATTGGTTACTTCGTGGCCACGTGACATCTAACAATGAAACTGTTTCCCGCCAAATTGCTGCACAAATCTATGACGTTGACGGTACTCCCGAATGTTGACCGACGACCGCCGTTACGTACAGCCACCGCCTTAGGAAACATTAAGAATCTCAGGAAACAAACTTAACTGTTTCCCTCGGGAAATGTAGCGTCATTGTGGTGGCATTCGACGAATTGGAGTTTAGGAAAACATCGGTATATGGGTAGTCACTTTAAGGCAAGCTTGTGAGTGGCGTCTGAACTTGGGCCTGGGTATTAGAAAATACTCGTACAATGGAACCCCGCTCTAGAAACACCCACTTGCTACTGACCCCTGTATATAACTGACATTTTCGTTTGTCCCGACCAAAAGCTCTTATATTTTCTTTAAAATTAATCCGCTTAATACGGACTCTGGTAAATACGAAATCACCAACTTCTGTATATCGTTAAACCCGTTTTGTGAACACTTTATCTGAGCACTTTCTATTACTGAGGAACTTACTAGTGAAAATCTAACAGTAACTAATAGAAAGGGCAATTAAACATTCAAAGGTTCGGTCTAATATTTAGTCGACTTGACTGAGTCACAATCTAAAACCATCAGTAGAAAGTGAGGTCAGGGATTCCATTGTTGTGTAGACTGTAAAACAGTCGTTTTTTTTTTTCTCAAAATCGGTTTAACATAACGCTAATGAATAGCTCAAGAGTCTCACGCGCCCGAAGCACGCGAGTCTCTCTCCAGTCTCGCTCTCTGTTTTCAGCCTCGTTCCAGACCTTGTGTTTGACTGTTCGCGAGTACTTGAATACGCAAGAATACAGACTGTTTTGCAGTCTAGTTGTTTTTGTGAGGTTTTAGTCCGAGACTAGCAATAAAAGACTTTGAGGTTTCTTGAGGATGAACTTATTACAATTACATGGTTAGAAATTAAACGTTTTCTCGTCTGCTTTCGTCTTCGCATCGATAAAACATGTGTTTTCCTGAGAGCACCCTTAATACGGAAACCTGGCTAATACGGACAAAGAGGGAAGTCCCCTTACTGTCCGTATTAACTGGCTTCATCTGTAACATCCTACAATGCTAATGTTTTTAAGTCCAGGTGGAATAGCCCGGGGAACAAGCGCAAAAAGGGGAAGGCAAGGGGAGAAAAGCGCGAATGGGAAAAGTGAGAGGGAGCCTTTCCCTTTCCTTCTCCCCCATCACTTCCCTCTTCAGCTCTCCCATTTCCTCCCATTCCCTTCTCTCCTCACCCACTCCCCCCCCCCTTTCCGACGCCTGCCTTGCAGACAATGCTGCACGAGTAGCATTATTCTATCTCATGAGCTATACACAACAGAATACACTGAATTAGAAACTCGCATCAGATGGAATGGAAAGTCTTCTGCTGTAGCGTCATTGAGTTGACATTCGCCAAAATTTCCTCCTTGCTCTGATATGAAGTTGACCGATTTACAAAATGGCGAGTTGGTGCACATCAGCGCACAGTGAATTAAAGACGACAAGGATTGTTTGTAGATCACGTGATGTGCCAGACTTTTCTGCTCGTGTATGATGAAGTTCTGTTCTTTTTTCAGTGCATATTTGTCTGAAAAGGAAACAGAGAGGCTTTTTAATTCGAGTTTTTGACAGAACCCCACAACCCGGAGTTACTAGCAACTCTGCCGCCGCGTTTTCTCGGACCGCTTTAATGTTATATTTTTTCCCGCGGAAACGGAATCTTCGATCCGTCTATGAGCGCATTCCAAGTGTAAGATACGACAAACTAAACGTCTTTCAAAGGTCAAACATATCATTTTTAGGTCTGTGGGATTTGCTGACTGGTCTATGTGACTAAAAGTATATTCTGAATTCGTGCCAAATTTGTTCTTAAAATAAACTGGTCGGTGAGAACGTTGTGACACGAGTACCTGGCAGTTGCTCGCTCAGGGTTATGGACTCCTGAGTACCAATCCATCCCGCCTCTTTTACATTAGTTTGCATACAATATAACCTTTGAAAATTCACTATAATTTGTTCTACTTAGAAGAGCAGTCATACCTAAGCGCTCATCCTTATTCATTGATTGCTGCCTACGCAGGCTATAGACATCGTAATAAGTGAGCGTCGTTTACGCGGACGTCGCCGTCGACGTTACTTACCCTTTGGCCTGCTGTCAAACTGAGGGGAACTGGGTACAAGTCTGTATACTATGGCATTAATATATAAATCTCGATAATTTTTATTGTTTGCTCAAACAAAATATAAAATCGTGTAACGCTACGCGGCGAAGGTAAAGAGAACAGTGACAAACAACAGCAGGTCTGATTAGCAAAAAAGCAACTTTGCAGCACACTTTTTTGTGCATTTCTTTGCCGTTGTTTTGCACGACTACAGCGTGAAACTTCCAGAAACTTTCTAGTTACACATTTTGTGGAGGAAATGTCGTACGTGTTCTTGTTCACCTTTTTTTTCACTGCCGTTCATTTTCACCTTGATGACCGCTAGCATTTCTCATTTTCTCAGCGCCGCTACAAAATGTTCATGTTGTTCTTCCACCAGAGATTGTCTCCTTTGTTATTTATCTCTCGCCCTAGCTCCCTGCCGCTCTTTTTCTCGTTGAGCTACGCTACCTGTCGCCTACTTTCTCTTTTCTCTGTCCTTCTCTTTCTGTATATTCCAAATATGTGGACATGACAATTAATCTAAGCTTAATACTTTAAACAACAGGGATAAAGAAACAATTTCCGCTTTCCGTTTTCGTCTTTATTGACTCTTAAGTTGTCTCTGCTTCACAAGACGCGGGTGGCTACGCGATTTCCAGCCAAAATAACCTCGAATTGCATTTGGGTTGCCATACCTGTTCGTTGAGTTATTTTGCATTGGTTTACCTGTGGTGCGGATGGCCGGACGGGCGTACGGTCACGTGATTACCAAAATTTCTCGCATGGGTAGATTACCACATTTTCTTGGGTGTGGGGCTACGCTCTCGCGTGGAGCTCCGTTATAGTGTTCTAAAGTGATGACGTGATAAAAATTAAATTTGTGAAATTATGAGATTTGTCAAGATATTCTGAAAGAACAACGTCCAAGACGTCTACTTGCCGAAAATTAGCGCTCGTGCTCTGAGATATTAGCCCAGTTATGCTCTGATGACTCCATAAAAATCCTTCTAAAAATCCTGCTTGGGTCTAAAAGTTTAGTCAAATTTAGAAGGATTTGTAAGGAGTCATCAGAGCATAACTGGGCTTATATCTCAGAGACAATTTGCCCCACAATGCTAGTTTTCGGCAAGTAGGCCTCTTGGATTATGTTCTTTGAGAATATCCCGACAAATCACATAATTTCACAAATTTAATTTTCTATGACATCACACTTTAGGACTCTATCTGAACCAGTGAGCCACGTATAAAATCCTCAAGCACGGATGTTCATGGGACTAACAATGAACGAGATATATATATACACCCATCCAACATCTCCAAATATGGGACCCCAGCAATCCATATATCCATTCATGTTCTAAACTGGATCTATCTTCTTCAATATTGCGCTGATTAACCGCACGTTCGGGGAGTTTATTTGTCAAAGTTCGGTGCGCTATTTCTGACTATTTGTATATGATGTTTACAATCTCACGACACACGGACTCGTCCCCCCTCTGTTAAAACTGAACTAGGTAATTACCTGGCCGCAGTTTGGGTTGCGAGTTTGTGAATTTACACACAAACGGATGCCAGAACTCACATGGTGTGTCATTCCACCTGCCATTAGGTTCCACGAGGATAACGCAACAGCCGTCTAATCCACAATCGCCGTCAGGTTCTCCGTCTTCCCACCTATTGTAATCAAAAGTGCTGCCATCCAACCAGACAAAGCTGTCATTGGCTTTTGCAGCACGGAGACCAATGAAGACGTCCTCTCCTTCGGACACATTGTGGACGAATTCGTTTTCTTGGAGACTTGCAATGGACACCAATTCAGCACCACTCTGTCTACAAATGGAGGAGGCATTGGAGAATGGTTTAAAATCTTTGGTTAACTTGTAGCAGGCCTGGTTCCATTCTTGCCATCCCATTTTACACTGGATTGAAAAGGCGCGCCCAGACAGCGGAACAACTGAAAGAAAAGAAAGAAAACGGAAATATAAATCGAAAATGAAAAATAGGCAAATAAGCTAAAGGGTAAACATTCGAAGCAACCGAAAGTGTAGGTACCCAATCGATCTCGGCCTTAAAAATTCGTAACAAGGCCTTAAGAGTTTTGTTCCTGGGCTATCGTATGTTCTGTCGCACTTTGTAAAACCTATCGCACTTTGCAATCAAATTGTCGCACTTTGCAATAAACTTAAAATGGATGGTTGGAGGACAAGTAAACCCAATAATAAGTATCATCACCGACAACGACAACAACAACAACAACAATAATAATAAAAATAATAATAATAATAATAACATTCTCAGTTTCTCAAGTGGGGGCGGTGGAAAGTGTTCACATCAACTGCGGCCTTCCGGCTTCAAGATCTTTGTAGTGAAGTACAACTTTTTCTATGCGGACGACCTCGAGACCAACTGATAGGAGTCCGTAACAATGGGAATTTAAAATCTGTTATCCGTATTATCGGGTTAACTGCTCATAAAAGTAAGGTGTCCTTCAGGCGAAAGGTGATTGTTTAAGAAAAATATTTTTAAAGTTTTACGAGTAGCACAGGCAATGAAGAAATCCGGTTTCATTACCTGCGAGGATATGTTCAGAGATATGACAAGATATTAGTGTTTATTGCCATGAATAAGCGCTATAGTAATATTTCACAAAACCAAACAACACAAACCCAGAGCACAACACGGTGCCACAATCATAATCGTCATAATCGGACAATCATTATCATTATCATCATTGTTCCTATTATTATCGCACTAAAACGTTCTTTAAAACATTGCATATCATTTGCCTACACGACTACTAATTTTGTGGAAATTTCGAATACGCCGGAACCGACATGAAACAGAATCGTTCATAATAATCAGAAAATGCGACATCGCAAAGTGTGACCAAGCTAAAAAAATGCGAACGCGAAAAGCAAATGTTAAGTACTATAGTCTTACAATGATATTAACAAAACATTGCATCTCAGTCTCGAACGTTTATAATCAAGTTCCATCTTCTATGTAAGTTTCAACAAAGCATTTTTTTCTTTTTAGCTAAATTTTAAGGTTTCGCTGCCTAGAGCTTTGAAGTATGCTACTTGTTTCGCCAAAATATGCCCATGATGATAGACCATCCAAGACCTCTATAATGTAGTATCAGACAAGCATTCGCCCATTTTTGATTTGAAATTATTCGCCGTATTTCAAGCACAACACCACTTAAAGGCCCAAACATTCTTATCAGTTTTTTAACGCTGACATTTCCCGCCACACCGAGATTAGAGAAATGAATACGCGGCAGAATCTGTTATTATTATTATCATTATTATTATTATTATTATTATTATTATTATTATTATTATTATTATCATCATCATTATTATAATTGTTGCTGTTGTTGCAGTGTCGATGATGATACTTATCATTGGGTTTTCTTGCCCTCCTACCATCTATTTCAAGTTTATTACAAAGTGCGACATATGTTATTACAATGTGCGACAGCAATTTGTAATAATTATCGCACTTTGTAATACCTGTCGCAATTTGCAATAAACGGTGTCGTACTTTGTAATGAACTAAGCTGGCGCAATTTGTAATAATTCCCTCGCACTTTGTAATAAGTTTTTAAGAGTGATTCAACTTACTTCGTCAACGTTAATATAATGCCAAAATATGCATGGTACTTCATAAACAAAGATAATGACGTCTGCTAGCACGTAACATCTCCGCTCATTTAAACCATTTAACTTTATTCACAGTTCTAAACATTTTTTTTAAAATTAATGTTGATTAGTTATCTGACTTACGAAGTGCTGTATTCTTAAAACCTTGCTATGATACTAGGTGGCCTGCATTAAATGGTTACCCGGCGGGTGTACTTCCTTATGTGGCCAAAACGGGGATGCGCCTCTGGACAGAGCATTGCCAGTACAGGATCACACACTAGACACAAACGAGCCATTATTAAAACGCATTTAATTTCCGCAAATCGTAACACCCATCCTACATCATTCGAATAAGGACACCAGGAAAGTTCAAGCTTTCCTTTTTAGATCTTTTGACAGGTCGACAAAACATCGTCCTTGTTTAACGTGCAATCTTAAAGAAGTAATAGTGGCTTCCATATTTTGGCCAACTGAATCAAACGAGGCCTGGAAAGATTCAAAATGTTTACTGTAAATAAACAAAAACGTCACCAGTGGCAAACCGTCGAACCACAACAGAAACATGAACTCAAAATCCAATTAGTCGCTGGCAAGAGACTATAAAGGGGACAGAGAGGGCATCCCCCATATACACCCTATTCCATAGGTAATTCGTCTCGAGTTATTTTCAGAATCGGGATAAAGTTACCTCACGCGAGGCGTGGATGTTTCGTGGAGGTTTCGCATGACCAAACGCCGTGCAAAACATGTCGGGCGAGAGGCAATGAAAGCGTAAAAAGATCGAGAGCATTCCTGAATATTGAAGCGAAGTGAGTCGGCGCTCACCTGGGAAAAAGGAATCGCTGGACTCTTTGACAACCCGTGAAATCAGTTTAACTCGAAGTTGTCGTAACCTCAGTGCTTTAATAAAATGAGAAATTTCGCTGGTCTGTTGAAACCGGTCGTTTGTACAATTTAGGGAGTTTAAGATCTAACGACGCGGACGACAACTAGAACGTCAAAAAAACAATAGGTTTAATTAGCAAAACAACAACTTCGCACGTGCCACACACTTTTTTGTTCATTTCTTTCCCGTTTTTGCTCGACTACGACGTGAAAATGCCTAATTTCGCGTTTTATGGAGGACGTAAATAAGCAACGACGAAATTTTATTTCTCTTTCTGAGCTTGAATATGGTCCCTTGAAATTCAGCTTTAGGAGGGTTCGCCTACAATTGACAAAGTAAGTGGGTAGGAATAATCGCTATAAAGACTGAAAAAAATGAACATCAAACCAGAAATTGATCTCTTCAAACTGTAAATTATAAATGATCCTGAGAGAATATTCAGTGTGTTAAGGATTTCCCTGCTCTACTGTTAGCTCTATACAAGAGAGGAAGGGCGATTCTTTTTTAATTTCGGCTTCGCTGACACAGCTTTCGCAGAAATCTCGCTGTAGTCGTTTTTGTCGACAAAAGGAATAGCAAAATCGCGCTCCGCGTCTTCCCCCATTTTGTTCTACGCCATTTCGTGAAGGACGCGTGGCTCTCAGCGTGGGTCATCCACGCGGAACACATTCGCCTTATCAGATTGGCTGTTGTCTAATCCCCCTTGGGATCTGTGGTGTTAAAAATAACTCGAGACGAATTACCTATGGAATAGGGTGTATATGGGGGATGCCCACTCTGTCCCCTTTATAGTCTCTTGTCGCTGGCCAATACCTTCGTATGTACCTGTTTTTATAAAACTTACTTGGGGTCTAACACTGAGCAGGCTGGCCATTTGGTCCATTATTCTCACTTGATTTGGTCCCATATAGGAGCAAAAGGAGTACTGATTCCATCTTAAAACAATCTTTTCTATATGGAGCCCTCTAAAGCAAATACCGTGGGGATAGTAAAAAATTCTTCTTCCCCGCGTATATACAGCTCGTAAGACCTGCAACTCTCCCGAGCGTGTTCAGGATTATTTTCTTTTCCACAAAATGGAAAGGATGGAATAAACCATCCATTACTATTTGAGTTACCTTATCTAAGGATCAAACTAAAGACACAAGGCCAACAAGGCAAAAAATGATACTCTATTAAAGGATCGAGATCCTCAAAAACCATACACTATCAGGCGGTACCTACCTACCTTACCCATCCATATATGGGATTATCCCCCCACCCTGAAGACTTCACGTGTCACGTGGCAAGCAAACATGGATTTGGACGACAAATGCCAGACTATTCATGAATTTTCTGTTGTTAAATGTTGCTTTTGTTATTTAAATATTTTTGAACTTAAACACGATTCATATCTTTCTAGTGATTTCTCACAGCAAGTTTCATGTCTTTCATAAAGGCGATTCTAGTTGGTTACGTGATTAATCAAGGCAGAAAAATTTTTAGCGGAAGACATGCATGTTTGACCAAAGAAAATGTCACGGAGATGTTACCTACTAGCAGACGTTATCATCTTTGTTTATGAAGTACTATGCATATTTTGGCGTTATATATATTTATGTTGACGAAGTAAGTTGAATCAGCAAAAAATTATTACAAAGTGTGATGGACAGTTATTACAAATTGCGAAAACTTTTTTATTACAAAGTTCGACACGGTTCATTACAAATTGCGACAGGTATTACAAAGTGTAATGGATTTATTACAAATTGCGACAGGTATTACAAAAAGCGATAATTATTACAAATTGCGACAGTAGAGCTTCTCTACAATTTTCTTGCCTTATGGTTGTAACAAATTTAGGGGTACGTAGTAAAAATATTTTAACTAAAAGATTATGACGTTTACATAACAACATCAAGTCACTTCAACAAGACTTGTCCGGTGCCGTCGAAACCGTCTTCAAAAATTTTGTTCCTGTTACTTCGTAATCTATCCCGCCTTGGTTTTTTTCTCCTATAGTTTTTGTTTTTAGGGCATTGATGACATTACAAGCAATACTTTATCTACAACTTCAGCCAAAACTCACGGCACATGACTGGTTCGTTTTGCATTGCATAGACCGTGTACTCCCATGTTAGAGGCGCGATTCAGTCGCATAGGTTGAGTTTCAACTTTCTCCTAATGGGAGGATGCAGCGAAGGTTACAACAACAACATCAATCTTTATTATGCTCTTGATACAAAAGTGTAGAGTCATTAACAGGAAATAATTGTGAAAGAAGGAGAGCACAGCCACTCAGAAATAGAAAAAGCTAACCGCGCTGAGTGGCTTGGCCATGCGGAAAAGTAACTAGATATCAAAGTTGTTATAACTACCAAAGGCACACAAAAACGCACAAAGTAAAAAGTAGGCTGTAAGTTTGGTAAAGTACTAAGGCCTTGTGTAT